AGATTACCACAGCTGCTGAAGATGTGTAGACTTTTTAAATGCACATATACAAAAATCAGACTCCACAAACCAACACCATTTACACCAAAGAAATATTTGGTTGAGTTAAATGCAAAGAAGGCGATTCAGGAGACTGAGAAAAAAAAAATCCAACTGACAATTTTGTTTTCTCCTATCTTTGCCACATGGAACATGCAGTAACTACCACTTATGATATCCAAATGATATAAAGAATTGTTATACAGCCATAGTATTGTATGCATACATTAAAAGTCCTGGGCACATATCAAATGTAGAAAAATATGAAGAACTGCTAAAATAGCCTGTAATTTTAAAATGACTTTTTTACTCTTCAACAATTAATCATGTTTTCATGTATGCTAATGCTCATATCTAAGACCATCCCTTTTCTTTGTTACTCAACTCCCAAAATAGTGCTCCATTATATAGTAAATTACAAATTTTAATTTAATACAAATTTTAAGTTCAAAAGTTAACTTGTGGGGCTTGGTTATGGCTCAGGGGTGAAGTGCCTGCCTAGCAGGTGCGAGGCACTGGGTTCGATCCTCAGCACCACATAAAAATAAATAAACAAAATAAAAGTATTGTGCCCATTGACAATATATATATTTTTTTAAATTAACTTGCAGCATCAAAAAATGAAGTTTTCCATCTATTAAAAGAACCCTTCCTAAAACAGAACCCAAAGCCAAAATGTGTGTGTGTGTGTGTGTGTATATATACACACACTTAGTGTTTACTACCTTCCCACACTCGACTGTGGGTAATATTAAACATGCAGAATATTAAGCATTACCAAACTGTCCATGGCATATCTTCACATCTAACTCTATACTCCCAAAGGAACAGATCTGAGCTTGAACCTGCTCCCCTCAACCCAACTACCCTATTTTAATTCATAGGTTTTCAGGCAACCACAAAAGTCGATAAGGATATAAAGGAAAACAATAAAAAGGAAATACAGAATTTAATTTCAACAAAATCTTATCAGCAGACTTAAAAAAAAAATTAAATAAACTTCAAAGTTAACCAAACTCATAATTTGTTGGTTTAGTAGTTTAGCTACTGCCTCACCACAATAAAATAAATCTGATACCACAATCATCTACTTAAGTATTTGCATAGGAATAAAAAGTCGAAATGTGTAATCTATCTTCCTTTAATATCTTTCTAAAACTGAAATATGAAACATACAAACAGACTAACGTTACCAGATGACAAATGTTGTTTTCCCTGAATGGGGTAGAATTTTAATGTAATAATTATAAGAGAACATTTTACCAAACATAAAAATTAAATATTTTGTATTTTCTTCAGAACTTTGACATATTCAAAAATACAACCGGGGGAATAAACCTGACAATACAAAATTGCAGAAAATAAGGCACTTACCTTAGACTTTAGTAGAAGTTCAAGAACACACTAATAGGAGTTTGAGGGTTTTAATTGCAATGAACTTTTATTACTAATGGGTAATGGTAAAAATATTCCTAGAGAAAATAATAAAAATAGTATAAATATCAATTTCTAACTAGTTACAGCACCAGATCACTGAAGGGGGAATGATTTAAGTCATTTTCAATGAAAACAGTCATTTTCATATTATTTTTTAAAAAAGGAAACCTGCTTTGCCCTCCCTGCCAGTCTCTGATACCTTAGAATACTACAGTTATTTCACAGTGGGAAGGAATGGGTAATAAGTACATTTCTTTTCCAATCTGTTTCTCTACCCAGTCATTAAACACCAAATACTGAAACTGAATTCAGCTACCTTGATCTTCTTACCAGGAATGCTCCCCATGGCACCCCAATCCCTTCCACTGTGTCTTACTCTAACTGCCAAAGCCCCTCCTATTAATAGTAAATCCCTTTCATACTGACTCACTGTAACTCCAAATTGATGAAATAGACACCAAGCAGAATATTTAAACTTACAAATGGAATTTTCCTATTTTCAAAGAACTTAAAAGGAAACTAAAAGTAGAATACATTCAAACTAAGTTAAAGTTCAACCAATTTAAAAGAATTCATGTTGCTTGTTCTATACTGGTTCAGTTTAAATATTTTTTGAAAGTTCATATGCCAGGCATGTGAAATTACTTATACACAAGGCTGTTTCCCATGTAAATATCTGATACATAGATATAAATTTAAGTCATTACAAGATTGCAAAACCAACTTGGAAATTTTTCTCCAAATTTTTTTTCTTTAACTATGGAAATTTTCAAACACACAAAAATAGCATAAGAGTGACAATGAACTCTCCTGTACTCATCTAGCTACAATAATCAACTCAAGGCCATTTTTGTTTCATCGTTACCTCCTACCCACTCCCTCCCCTCAATATTATCTTCAAAAAAAAGAGAAAAAGAGGAATACAGTGTGCTCAATAAATACAGAGAAAAATCCCAAAGATAACAAGTATCAAAGTAACAGATTAAGAAGTCCAGAATCTAACAATGTAACTTGTACAGGCAGCCTACACAACTTCTAGATAAAATGATAAACAACTTCTAAGAATTCGGTAAAAAAAAAAAAGAACCATCTACAACAATTTTAATGAGGTCCATAAAACTCCATGGATATATTCTAAATTATATCTAAAGAATAAGTAAGAATATATGATGAAAACAAACTTAAAACATTTACAATTAGGTTATATTCACATAGCACCTTAGCTCAAAACGGAAAAAAAACAGACTATTTAACATATTGTGTCATAAAATTACAATTCAACCACTTGAAAAACCGCTGAACACTTAAACGCCTTAACTGGTCTTTCTGATCCCTAATTATAGATTGATATCAATGTAGCAAGAAAACCAGGCATTTTAACCTAAGTGGTTTAAAATGTTCAAAATTAACCCCACTGTTCATTGGAAAACTTATGAAAGCAAGTCTATAAACTACCTGAATTGCATGTCATTAAACAGAAATGTATCCACTTTCCAGGGCCGGTGTTTTTTTAAAAAAATAAGTTCACATATACCCTTAAACGCAACGCGCTAGGCTACAGACAGAATTAGGAGACCGCCTCCTGCTTTTGCTCCTAACCAATACGCAGAGAGAGAAGGTTGGCAGGAAAGTGCTGCGAGGACAGTAACAAACACCAGCAGCTCCCGAGCAGGCCCTGCTAGAGCCAGGAATGACGCACTTCGGTAACCCGACTCTTTCTCCCCTCCACCCCCCGCCCCCAGCAGCGGTGCTGACACCGCCAACAGCCCGGAGTAGGAAAAAAGACAACAGAAAAAAGGCAGAGCTTGGACCGCACCAGGTTTCATCAAGAAACCTCGATTATTCCTCTTTCGACACTAACCACTAGGACTAAACAGGAAAAGAAGCTTCGTGCTTAAGCAAGTCCCATCATGGTGGTTTAAGAGTCACTAAATTAAGCTGATAATGAGTCCAATCCACAGAGACAAATACAGGGTGTGGCTGCTGTGAAATACGGCGGTCCGTGGGAGAAAAGGGGTATGGAATTTACACTCCAGTGTGAAGGGAAGATTGGGGCTTTACGGGGGGGCGGGGGGAAGCGGCCCGCGCATTTTAAGGAACCATTGCAAACCAACACAAGCTCCTCGTTTGCTTAAACCTAACCCTACAGATCAAAAGTTTCTAACAGATATACCCTGTAAGCTGTAAATAACCATTTAACCAAAAGCCATGACCCTCAATTTCAAAACTACATCCAAGAGAAAGGAGGAGGGAGAGGGAAGGTGGGGGGTGGTAGGCAACAACATAAAAAACATCCTAGGCCACGAAGGAGAAAGTCTCACAGACCGGATGAAACTACTAATGCAATATTAAAAATTAACGCTCAACACTAAAACACGAAAAATCACACGATAACCCATTACACTCAAGGATTAAAAATAAAATGACATATACACCGAGAAGAAGCGGAAACTAAATGTCGAAAGTACAGCGGTTTATAAAAAACTAAAGGCAAAACAAGACATTCTCGCGACGGGAGGGGAAAAAAAGGCCGAAATCAACAATACGTTTACGGTTCTAGGCCAGAAGAAAATGGGAACGGGGCTCAAAGTTTTGCGGAACTACTTGATGCTGTTTCCCACACCTTCTCTCGCCCATGGCCCATCCGACCCTTTTCGTCCTAAAATTGCCGTCCACAGATCTCCGGATACGTGATAGAAGAAAAAAGAAAGTCGCCCTCAAGCAAGAATAAAAGTGTGGAGGGAAAAAGCATAGGCTGCCTACCTGGGGCAAGGATCAGCTCAGTTCGTGCCTTGAGAAAGACAGTGCGGGTGGGGGTGGGAATGAAAAGCAGCACTAAAACTAAAACAAAAGTGGCGCCAAAACCCCCCAACAAACAGCCTTCCACTCCCGCCCTTCCCCCCTCCGCCCATGCCAGGCAGGCAGGGCCCCCTTCGGGGCAAGGTCTGCGCGCGGGGGCCAACGCCGCCAGACCCCAGCCTATTTATAAAATTGTTGCCCTAAGAAAACTGACCGAACTCGGGCCTCGGAAGGGATGGAGAGATCGATGCCAACCGCTTTCCCAAGCAGTTCCCCCACCACGCGCTGGAGATGATGGGGCGGGGGAGCAGCAGAGGGGCCCGTCACATGAATGTTGTTCCCTCTCTAGGAAGGGAGGAAGAGAGGGAGGGAGGGGAGGGGAGGGAGGAAGGGAAGGAGGGGAAGGGAGAAGGGAGGGGGCACGAGGGAGGGGTGTGATCAGAGTAGATTTTCCCTCGCCTCCCTCGGTCCGAGGCCCAAATATACACAACTGAGCCTCCTCTTTCTCCCCTCCCCCCTAGTTCCCAGCACCACCATTTTGCTCTCTTCCTTCCCCTCTCCACGATACCGCGCTCTCCCCCACCCCAGTTACAGCCTTCCCAGCTTGCCTCCCCCGACTAAGGCTCGCACCCCACCCCACCTCCAGTTTTGGGTCTCCTAGGCTTAAGAGCCTGCCGGAGAAAAGGAACCTAAATCTAATGCTACACAGAGAAGCGGAGCCTCCATCTTGCGCTGCTCCGCGTTCTCCATTTTGGGCCACCCATGGGGGGGTCCTCCGTAGAGGCCCCGAGGGAGAGTTGGGCGAGGGAAGGAAGAGAAAATCTTCAGCGAGGGTAGTCGGAAAGAAGAGTCCTGCGGTAGAAAGCGACTCTAGGAGTAGGAGGTAGGGAGGAAGCGGGGCTGGAAGTTCCTTGGAAGTGTTGGGGTGCCGACTTGGTAGAAAGGAGGGCTGGGGGTGATGCGGGGGCGAGGAAGATTCTCCCCGCCTGGACTTAAACACTCACTCCATGGCTGGCCCCCCATGGGGGCAAAGGAAGCGGAGAGGGAAATTAAATGGCAACAGAGTGCCCAGCCTCTTTTCCCTCCCAACTCCTGTCTGTCGCCCTGTTTCAACCATACACACCTCACGGTGGGCCCCGCGCCCTCCGGGTGCCCCTCCAAACTTCTAGAAGCTTCGCCTCCGCCATTTTATAACTTACCTCCCCCCTCAGCGTACACAGAGGCAGCAACGAGATTGTTCGCCTCCCCCACTCCTTCCTTCTTTCTCAGGCCGGGGGCTTCTTCACCCCTGGGCTGGTACAAGATTTTTTCCCCTTCCTCTTCTTTACACCCTCGAATTCTACTCAGGGACGGAAGCTCCCGCGGTTCTAGAGCGGTGGGGGGTTTTGAAAGTGGCGGT